TTTAACACAGTCTATACAAAACCACACTGCCTGCCAACATGGCTTTCATCTAGTGCACTCATTTCACTGACATCTGTGGTAGGTGAAGTAAATCCTGTAAAGTTTGCACAGCTACCTACTCCTGTGATCTGAATTAGTAACTCCTGGTGTAAATGCACAGGTGTATTTAGAGACTTGAGGCAGGGCAGCTTGGCCAGGTTTGTACCTGTGTGCTCTGCCTTCTGGCAAGTCATGACTCTGAAATTTATATTCAAGCTTGCTAGCTTTTTCAGCCACAATACTTAAAAAAAAAAAAAATAAAAAGAAATCTCCAGCCCTACTAGGAGTGGTACTTCTTTCTAGACCAGTCCATAAGGAGAAGGTGCCAGGCCAGCCAAGGCCAGGCCCTGCTGGTGGGCACTGCTGCCCTGCACCTCTCCCTTCATTCCAACCACCCCCAGCCCCCAAACAAGCCAGATTTCTTCAATTAGTCCTCCCTTAATGACAGGCTCTCCCAAAGCTGACAGATGCCATCCAGACAGATGTCAAGCCTAGAGCAGGCCCTTCCTGGCTGTGCTGGGTGACATCTGCTTGGCCAGCAGCTGCCTGGCTCTGCACACACACGGGCAGCTCTGGTGCAACAGCCCCGGGGCTTTCCAGGAGGGATGGCTCCTTAAAAAAGGGAACAGAATCTTACCCCCAGTGCCACACTTCCCTGCAGGCAGCTAAGGACAAATTGCAGGAACCTAGATCCTCAGTCAGCTTGGAATATGACTACATATTACACATTTCTCTAGGTGCTTCAGAATTCCTGTTAAACGCAGGAAAACTCCATTCAAGTTCAGTTTTACACGTTCAACCTGTGTCTGTGAACTCATTCCATTTTAAACTGGGACAGAAAAGACCAAGTGACAGGGATGAGTCAGTGGGTATTTTTTGTTTTCTTCATTAGCATCTGAAAAGGCTGAAGTTTGCTTCAGATGATAAACCCTCACTTTTCTGGTGTTCTACACAATAGTCAGCATACGATATGGTAGATGGTTTTCCAGCAAGTGATTAAATCCCAATTAAAAGCTGCTTTGATCTCTCAGTGGCAGCTTTCCAGCCCTGTGACAGGGTCTGTGGAGGTGCTGAGGTTCAGGATAACCTCCTTGAAAGGAACCCAGCAGGATGTTCGTGGGGAGCCTGTCTCTGGTGGCACCCTCATTGTGAGGAGCAGTGGGGCTGGGCTGGCAGATGGCTGCACTTGCTGTGCCCCTCCACTCCAGGTTTTCAGGGAATGCCTGGCTGGGAATGGGAAGCATCCAATGGGCACCTGCCCTTCCCACTTCAAAGGAGCCCAGCTCCAGCAGCAAGAAAGAAAACGAAGGGAAACCACTGAAGTAGTCCAGGAGCACAATATATTAAATAAAAAACGAAGAATAAAAAAATAAGAGCACAGTATGTGACCTAACAGGTGAGTGCCCCCAGCTTGCAGCTCACAGGTTGGTGAAATAGTTCCCTCTGGTACCATGCAAACCTGTGAGGTAAAAACTGGAATCATCCACAAAGAAAAACAATGCATCAGCTAGGAGCTACATTGAAACTACTTCAAATAGTTAAACTCTACCCAAATCAAAAAATCTCACCAGCGTTGAGAAAATAAGAGGAACTCAAAACATGAGAAAATGCTGGAAGTTTAAAACTCCTGGAAATCCAACCCACGTTCTGCTGCACTTCAGTAGGGATGGGGCCATAAGGTACAAGATGAATCACAAGAAATACAGTCCCTGCCCTTGCCCTGTTGAATCTTTAATACGGATAAATACTGTCACTGATGGAAGAGTTATTTTGGAGTTTAGGCTATGGGTTAATTTAGCAATATTTCTTGCTTCTGACTTTGCCAGTTAAAGGACAATTATTGCTTCACAAGTGCTACTTATTATGCATGAAACTAGATTTGTGGATATTGAAAGAAGAGATTTAAAATATTACATTTTCAAGTTGACAAACATTGATCAGCAGCTTTCCCAGATTTGATGTTCTGTATAAACCTGTGTGTGCCCCCCTGTAACTGCTGGAACCTGTATCAGAAATGAGTGTTTGCACCACACGCAGATCATGCTCAAGTGTCTACTCAACAGAGACTCCTGGTGTCACACAGTTAAACACCAGGCACTCCTCAAACATCTGTTTATTGCCTGAACCTGCTGCAAGATGCCCTCAGACAGATCTCCCTCCGGGCAGGGGATCACCAAGGGCCAAGGAGTGGGCTGACCACTGTGTGTTCCCATTCTGGGCACTCAGGTGTGCCAGCAGCGGGCAGGAGGAAACAGGCTGGGCCAAATAACCAGCCTTGTCTTGGCAGCTAAAGCAGTCTGTGTCCACTATCTCCAGCCTTCTGGAACAATAGAGCTTTAGGAATAAATTGCATTTCAATTCAACTCCCCACTCTCCTGCCAGAGCCATGGCCTGTGCTGTATCACAGCCTCTCCTACAATGAGAAACGTTTATGTTGCCTCAAGTAGAACTGAAGGGAAAACGTATCTGGTACAGTTTTTATTTATGGAAATACCAAACCAGAGTAATTGGTCCAGTAAGAGTGTATTTCTCCTTGTCACCCCTCAGGCCACCTGTTGGAGTGTGACCATTTCACAGCCATGCCAGCATAAGCAAGGTGTCCCCAGGGCAGTGTCACCTCCTGGGAGCAGGCACAGAGGGGCACAGCAGCCAGTCCCTTGGATTTCCCACTCACAGACATTTTATTTTCAGGCAGCTGTTCAAGTGTGGAAAAACCATAAAACTTGGGCTTTTGCTTCATAGAATGGTTTTGGGTGGAAGAGACCTTTAAGATCATAATCTTCCTTATTTACTGGAAAAGCTCATTGCATTTCTAAAGTAAAAGATGATCTTTTGGAGCCTAAAATTATACTGAAAATACAAATCAATTATGAATTACAAAATTTCTTAAAAGCTAACATTTGGAAAAAGCCATTTGCCATCATGATGAAGTGCAGAGTGTTGAGCACTGAAGCCAGTAGGTTTTAAGCCCAATCAGGAGGAAATGCTGCCTTATTTAAGCACGATGTTTGCTCTGCTTTTAGTTATCCAGAAAAAGCCTTCCAAGCTTTCAAGGTATGAACACACACTACTGCTGGGTGGGAAGACCACACTTGCACGTATTCTCAGTGCATTTGAAGCCAGCCCCAATTTTCCAAGTAACTCCTGCTGTGTCCCTCAGTGCTCAGGAGGCACTGCAGTGCATTGCTGCAGTGCTTCCCACACCAGGCTGCAGTGCCTTTCAGCCAGCTCAGCTAAAATGCTTTCCTCTCTGAGAGGACTGATGTGAAAGTGATCCTTTTAAACAATTATTTGGATAAATGAAAGCATTTGGTGAATCTCATTTTGAACTGAGAAAAAAAGAAATCCTGTTGACCACTGCACAGCAGCACTACTTTGTGCAGCCAATCAATAAAGATGAGCCTTAACAGGACCAGTACAGGAAGAAGCTGCAGCAGATTTGTAAGATAAGGTGAAGTTGAAATGCTCTCAAAACTTCTGGGGTTTTTTTTGTATTCTACCAACACAAAACTGTATTCAGTTGTAGACAAAGACTCCACCTGTACTCAGGATACTTTTTTTAAAGCTTAACTGCTTCTAATACCAGAACCCCAGATGAAATGGATACAGCCCCCAGACTCCAGCAAGGCAGCAGGCAGCTGTCAGAAAGCCTCCGAGCTCAGCAGTGCAGCACACAGCAAACACACACAGCATTTGGAACTTACTCCACTGAAGCACCCATCCCATCTTCAGTCTCCTCCCCGTGAAAACAACACACAGCACCAAAGGGGCAGAAAGCTGTTCCAGATGCACCACACACTTATAACAATGCTAAAGCTTCCCAACCTCCAGAAGGTCCGGAACAGATGTGAGATGGCAGATGCTCCTGGAGGAAACACAGATCTGATCCATGTGCTGGAGAAATCTGCCTTTCAGGAGGTGCTGAGCCCATTCGTTATTGTATTTTCAATTTTTCTGAGGGTTCATTCCCTATTTGTTGTTGTTTCCTGACATGTCCTGCATTGTGTCCCAGCTGCTAAAGGCATTCCCAGCATCCTCCCTCCCTCTCGGCCGCTCCTCCTTAGCCTGTTACCCCCAGTCCTGCCAGTGTTCCCTGTGCCAGACAGGTTGTTGTTCCACCAACAGTGATCCTGTCTCTGCCACCTTCAACCAGAGACTTGACACAAAACTAGATCTGTCACACTAACCACCTTCAGCTCGACAGAAAGAATCCATTTCCTTTAGACCTTCCCAAAATCCTAGACAAAGCTGAGCCCAAAGGCAGAGCTTCACACCCTACCGCTGTGCTGAAATCCATCCTGAACTCACACTCCAGCATCTTGATACTGAGCACACAAATAGCATAACAGCATGGAAAAAAAAATCAAAATATAACTGCTTATAATTAAATGCATCTTTTTGCAGCACCTGCCCTGTCAGACTATGCCTTGATGGACCAGAACACTTGGCATTACCTGCCTTCAGTGAACTACAGCAAGAGTGAAAAGCCAGATGAGTGTTGTAGAAATGAAATTCTGGTGTGACAAACAAGCAGCACAGCTTGTGGCCAGAAGGTCCATTCAATCAAGCAGACTGATGGCAGCAGCCTTACATCAGATCTTTCACCAAGGTAAATCACTTAAGGGGGAACTATACAAAATCATATCAAGCCCTTATTCTTCAAGAGCTACAAGCTAAACATGGCAGTTGCAGGCAGGTTTAAAAGCTGCCAACACATATATTAGAATATGGTTCAGAAGTAACACAGTGACACTAGAGTTGTCACAGACAAGCAGGTATTTGGTTTTACCCTACAGCTCTTTGCTAACTTTTGAATAACTTCCTTTCTACCAGCACAGACTTCCTGGTAAGTAGCCTAAGGATTTAATTTCCTCATGAAGAATATGCTGTGTAGCAGACAGTGTTCCATCTTCCCTGAACAGTACCTACTATGGAAAAAAATAACTTCTTTTCATGCTCACCAGGTGGGATGTCATCATCAACCAGGTCATGTTCCTCTTCCTGAACTTTTGCTTCTGTCCCCAGAGAATCTGGACTTGCACTCCCAGTCTGAATGGCTTCCGTGGTCACTCCAGCTGAAAGAAACAACCCAACACCCACAAGAAAGTCAGGGATTTTGGTAGAGAATATCCTTAGATCAGGAAAAATTAAAAAAAGTCATTAACTTTTGATGTTCTGAACCTTGCAGTGTGAATCTGTGAAACAGACAAAGCCAACAGCAACTATTCTCTGGTTTCTCTGCCCTGTAAACAGACTTTTCACAAACCTACCCTTGAAAAAGTTTCTCCACACTCTACGTGCCTCTTTTGTATCATCATCTTTTCCTGCCATCTTCTAGCACCATTAAAAATATTAGCTACACATATTGCACACTAACCATTTATTTAGCCCCGAACCAGAGAGCTCAGCAGAACCTCTCGCACATCTCCTGTTGATGCTTCCCCTCTCTCACCAACAAGTGCTGGTTTCCAGGCCACTTCCCAAGCACATTCATTCATCTGACTCAATCCATGAAATTTGAGTTGGGATGAATCTGACAGCTGCTACTAGGAACTGCACAATGAACCCCAAACTGTGCCACGCAGCACCCTGTGAGTGAAGTTAACATCTCCTGTTTGTACAGCCCCAAACTTTCATCATTCCCTGGAGCAGCCCCCCCAAGATTCCAGCCAGGTGTTATCAGAAGTGTTTTGCTAAGGGCAAAAAGAACAGCCTCACAAATAGCCTTTCCCAAAGGGTTTTAGGAAAGCGGAAAAGCAGGCTAAAGGGATGCCCTGGTAAGGTCTCTTTCCTCTTCCCTCCCAATGGCAACACTGTGCCTGCTGCTGCTGGAGCAGCTCAGTGGAATCATCACCATGAGACACTTCCATCCTCAGCAGCTTTCAGATAATAGACTGCTAATCTCCTCCAGGGCAGGGCTGGAGTCCCCATCCCTGGGGGGATTTCAAAGCCATGTAGATGTGGTACTGAGGGACATGGGGCAGGGGTGCCCTTGGCAGGGCTGGTTGGACTGGATGGTCCTAAAGGTCTTTTCTAACCAAAGTGATTCTTCAGTTTGATGCGATGGATAAACAAAAACAGCATCATAGGTCACACATGGAGAATCTCTGCTGTGTACCACAAGGCTTGTGAGTCCACACCTGAAAGCCATGGGGCTCCACGTTGCCTATAAACCAGTTCAGAAACATCAACATTCTCACGAATATTCCAGACTCCTCTGAGTAGTTTTTCATTTTTTGTTCTGTTTTAAAATACCAACTTGTGATTGTCTGGTAGCAACTGTGAGTGATTGTCTGGCAGCAATTTCTAGCCTTCTTCTGCCACAATCCCTTTATAAAGAAACCAGTACCTTTTAATAGCTTTCTCAACGTCTTTCCCTGTGTGTCAGCACATATAAAAATGGTGATGACAAATCTGCAAGCAGAGAGGGACACAGTGCAGAGTCAGGGGCATGTCACCTGCTCAGGCTGGCAGGGCTGCCCTGAGGTCACACGTGCTGCCAAACCCCACCTCAGCCTTATTCAGGACACCTTTGCTGGACACAGAGATGCTGATAAAAATTTATGCCCCGGTATTAAGAGGCAAAACTGGCAGAAGCGGAGGATGAAGGAATCCAAGCAACATTTCTTTATCTTCCTTATATCTTCTCCTCAACTTTCTAGCATAAACAGACACCTTTCAGAAGTCCATTGCATTCATTTTGGCCATCCTAAATAACTCCTGGCCCCTTCAATTCTGCCCTGGACCTTTAAAAAACCGCACCATGTTTTAAGGCACATGTTACAGTGTAACTAAGCCAGACACTTGTTACCCACAACAGCAACCTTTGTAGCTCCTTAATTTGTTTCCCCTCTTCCAGGGCAATTACTCTTCTTCAGAACACCAGCACCTTTGTGGACATTCCCACAGACAGTAACAGTATCAAATGCCTCCTCAGACCTGGCATTCAGGAGAACCCCAAACTCCATAACCTTAATCCACTATTTTTCAACAGTCTTAGTATAAAATAAATTCATTTCCATTGCCCTGTTTGAGAGGTTCCCACTGTCAGTGCTCTCCCACTAGCATCTACACTCAGGTCATTCCCTCAGCCAAGCTCAGCTGACTGCTCTGGTTTGTATTTTCTCCCTGTGTTTTAAAACATTCTTGTTCAGACAGACAAGGGCATCCTGATGTAGAGTAAAACCAAACTCTTAGATTTGCTAATGATTAAAATAAAGGCCAAAACACAGCTTGGATCCAACTACTTGAACTGCATGCACACAAAATATGCAGGGTTTTTTCTTACACCAGTCAGTCCTGCTGCTGTAAAAACAGATGCCACACTAACCTGAGCACAAACAGAAGCACAAGAGGCAGAATAAGATGTTCAGCTGCCAAATGATGCACATGTAAAACAGAACTGCAAACTCTGCCCTGAAACTTTCAAATGTAATGAAGTCACGAGAAGCACCCAAACAGCAAATTACTGAAACTAATACAAATTACAGGTTGGTTTTCAGTACATTAAGACAAAGTTCCATTTTTGGAAGCAGTCAGCTGGCTAAAAGCAGGCTCTCCAGGGTGGTTTAGATACACTTCACCAACACAATTATGTCCGTAACCTCCCACCCAAGGAGGTCAAGCAGTACCACTCCAGAGAGAAGAAATTCCTCATCACCAACAGTTGCTATAGCAGCTACTCTGGAGTGGAAAGGGCAACTACAGCTGCTTTCTACAAACTGCCTGCAACAGACCTCTGAAGGTCAATTAAAAAATGCACCTAACTACACAAAATGGCACAAACATCCACCACGTGAATCAGGGCTGTTTGGTATGTGCACAAACCACACTTCCACTGACTAACTGTGCCCCAGCATCCCTGGGATAAGGCAGCTACTGCATGGCTGGAGGCTGCAATTAACAGCAGCTTAGTCTCACCAAAACATTCCCAACATCCCTTTAAAGTACTGTGTTCCATGTAATTTATGCATTCAATTTAGATTTAATAAGATTATTACACAGCTCTCAAAAATCAATTGGTATTTAATAGAGAGCTTTCTCTGAGCAGCAACGACATCCTTCAGTGGAAAAAGAATCCCCTCTTAAGAGAGGTGAACACCTATGACTCTTATAACTTCAAAGCAAACATTCTCCTTCATGATAACATAGTTTTTATTGGTTTTTTAGACACTGCAGATGCATCTGGACATTATTCTCTCAATAGACAAGGCAAGACAAGTTTCTAGATAGATAATTGAGTGAAGTATCTTCCAATAATACGTTCTTTGAGCCTGTACAACCTCTGCTTCAATAAAAATGAATAAACCAAAAACTGATAAAAGACAACAGATAAATTGTTGCCAGTAGTTATTTAATGGTTTGGAGAAGAAACACGATATTGCATATCACTGAGTAGTGCTGCAGGAACACCAGTACAGCCAGAAGACACTTATTTTGGTAAAGATGTTTGGGTGAGTCAGTTCCAGTCACACAAAGGCCCCAGCAGGGCTATATTCTGGTAAGCCCCTTGTCTGCATGTGAGCCAAGAGTTCCAAACAAGGATCAGAACATAAAAAAACAAAACCCAACAAAATCAGAAAATATTCTGCAAGCAAAACATTTTAATAGACAGCATTTTATCAAAAGGGACTGGCTTATATGCAAGATTAGACCCATAACCAAACAGAACTGCAATTTGTTTCACCTTATAGCTGTGTGACTTTTAAAATTGGTACTAGTTTCATGCATGAGGTTTTTCAGTCAGCACACACCCTCTGATAAGAGAGACAGAGAAACAGGGGGATGGTGGTAGAGAACAGCTGCTACAAACCCCAACACTTCCCCTTGTAAGCACACTGCAGAACTGAAATATTGTTGCAGAAGTGTATCTGTACCAATATTAAAATATCCTCAGCCAGAGAAAGGTGACCTGATGAGTAACAAGGTGACTGTTCACAACTCCTACCCTGTAATTTTACCAGCCTCCTCACAGTTGGTTTCTCCCCTGCAGCCCCCAGCAGCAGGGACAGGCTGGGCAGGACACCCCAGTCCCCAGGAGATGCTCTGCAGGGTCTGACTGACCTGACCAACATTAGTGACCCTCAGGGATTTCACGACGCTTGAGCATTTCAAGAGGTTTTTCTCTATAACCCCAGACTTCTCCCCTGGGTTGGTAGCCCAATTTTCTGTGCAAAATGGCTTTTTCCCCCCTTTCCCCAGCAACCCAGCTCAGTCCAGGTGTGACACAGCCTCACTTACGAGATATGACGCTGTCCATGTACTGTGGCAGGTAGGGAGCCCAGGCATCAATGGTTTCTTTCCGACCTGCCTGCTCAATTCTTCTCAGCTCAGCCAGCAACAAGGCCTGGGCAGCTTCTCTGACCTGGAAAGCCAACAGGAAACAGCAGCTCAGATCTCAAACACTGACCAGCATGTTTCCCGTGTGATTGAGGAAGAACTAAAGAAAAATCTTGCACAGAAAACCAAGCTCAGCTTTCAGAAGAGCTCTGTTTTTCTCCCACCTCTCCACCTTCAACACACAAGCCCCATCCCTGGAGGTGTTCAAGGCCAGGTTGGATGAGGCTTGTGCAGCCTGGTCTGGTGGGAGGTGTCCCTGCTCATGGCAGGGAGGTTGGAACCTGATGATCTTTAAGGTCCCTTCCAACCTTCATTATTCTGTGAATCTATGAAAATTCTAAATGTGCAATGAATAACATTTTTCTGTGACAAACACGGTGAGATGAAAGTGAAACAAAAAAGTAAATTCAAAATATTTTTGACATGAGATTTACTCATGTCCTCCATATTACAAAGGCTGAACAATGAAAGAAAAGGAAAATACATTAAAATGGTTTATCAACGTTTTTTAAAAACAATCTGGGTTTTTAGACCAAAAATACAAAATACTACCTTAAACTATTTGCACCCCATTAATAACACTTGTTCCACCTGAAGAATTCATAAATACACATTCATAAACATACAGGCCTTTTTCCATCTAAGAGATTTAATGCACCTAGAAGTGAAGGGATTTGATCAAGGTAAAATGAAAAAGTTGTGGACAAAGGAAATATAAATATGCAGCATTTCTGTAGCTCACCAATTTGAATGAGTTTCTAAGTACTGCCCCTCTCAGGAAACCCCATCTCACACCAGAACAGGCAATCAGGCAGGACAAAACATTCCCAGCTCAGTTCCAGGACTGCTGAGGACCCACAGTCACCATCTCAGCTCTTTCCCCCTCGGAAAGCTGCACAGTCACCACACTTTTTGCCAGAAGAAGCACAGGTGCAGTGTGAAGGGCTCCTGGTCATTTATCAAATAGTTGGTGACAAACCCTTTACTGGCTGCTGGACACATTCTTCAAAAGATGCAGCAACTAAACAGTCTCTTAACAACTGCCCTCTGCAACTGCCTGAAAGGAGGAGAGACCTCATTGTCCTCCACACCTGCCTGAAAGGAGGTTGTAGGGAGGTGGGTGTTGGCCTCTTCTCCCAAGTGAATAGCAACAGGACCAGAGGAAATGGCCTGAAGTTGCACCAGGGGAGGGTCAGATTGGGTATTAGGAACAATTTCTGTACTGAAAGAGTGGTCAGGATGGGACAGGCTGCCCAGGGAAGTGGTGGAGTCACCATCCCTGGAGGGATTCAAGAGATGTGTAGATGTGGCACTTCAGAGCTTGCTCTACTGGCCCAGGTTGGGGTTTTTTGTGGGTGTTTTCTGGTGGGTGTGTGTGGTTGTTTGGGGTTTCTTTGTGTTGATGGTTGGACTCTGTGGCCTCAGAGGTCCTTTCCAACCAAGACAATTCTGTGATTCTTAATAGAATTAGGAGGCCTTTATAATCCAATAATTTCTTTAAAAAATAGGTTCAGCAACTGGAAGGTAAGCAAAATAAAATGTGATTTAGACATGATCCCTTTTTCAACATTTTGACAGGTTAACTGGAAAATTAACCTACTAGATCTGAAACACAAACTGCAGGAACTTGTGTCAGAAAAGAATTATCATTTTTTTGTGTGTATGAAGGGAAAACTTGATCAGTAAAAGATCAATCCCCCAGAACCCAACGGCCCAGGAAGCCCAATGGAATCACCTCCAAGCATCGGTCCTGCCACCTGCGCGCCAGCATCTCCAGCAGGGGAGGCCTGAACTTGTCCAGCCCCAGCAGGTCAGGGAGCATCACACAGTGCATGGCAGCCAGCTGGCTCCACCCTGGCAAAACACAGCACAAGGGGATGAGAAACACCAACACTGCAGCAGCTTCAAGTTAAAAACAGCATCAGGCACGTCGGCATAGGCCACTGGCCTGGTGCACACCAGGTCTTCAGGAGAAGGTGGGAGAAAGAGGGAGAGGAATAAAACAGAATCAGTTTTGCAGCAGGAAACCAGAAATGTTTCTTCTGCTGTGGGAACCTGGGGCTAGTCCTTTCTTTACTGATGCCAGCTGCCTTCTGGCCACTGCATGTGCTTTCTGTAGTGGGCTGGAATCACCCTCTTCCAGGCAGAAATCCTGCCTCCTGAGCCAGCTGGGCACAGCTCTTACACACATGCAAAGGAGACATCAGTAGAAGACTGCCTCAAATTAGCCCCCACTGTACAAAAACATCCCTCTTCCTCCTCATCTCCTCTCAAGAAGACTCCAGTACCTAGTTGCATGCCTGGATTTTAACCTTTCAGCCTTAAGAATGCACTCAGACACACTAGACACAAAGAGTCCTTACAAGTATTATGGCCAATTCTGTGCAAAATCATTAGCCCTGGTTCTGAGTTCAACATTTAGATGTCCTGCTCCAACATTCATTAGCATTAATGTCCTACAGGCAAGTAGGATAGAATTCCATAGAATTTCTGTCCTATTTTAAATGGTACCAATCTGTCTAAGCATGTTTGTGTGTCACCTACACCTTATTCCAGGGCACTTATTTCAATTCAGCTCGTGTTATGGGCCTGCAATGTGGTTAAAATCACTTAAAACCAGTCCAGATGAGCTTATCAAGCTCCAACAACAAAGCTTGTAAAATGTTTGTCAAGCATCCTATGAAAAGAATTTTTCTAACCTTATGCTCTACACTGAATTGAGAAACTGGAGAAATACTTCAGGTGGGCACACAGAGCTGTATTTTTAAGTTGTCAGCAATACTGAGCATAACAATCTAAATATAATAAAGCTCTTCATGATGCTACAAGAAAAGAAACCATGATGTCAATTTTCCTTGAAGACAAACAGATTAAAAAGAGGAATTTCCAATTTAAGGGAGCACTGTTTCTACTACTTGAGATGCACAAAGGCAGGAATTTATAGCTTACTAATAGGGGCATAAACCCTCTGATTTAAAGCCACTTGCTGACAGGGATTTAAGAAGTGTTTGGTTGGTTGGGTTTTGTGCCAGTTTTTATTCATAAGGTGCACAAAGGTTTATTAGAAAAAAACCATCCCCAACACAAACCCCAAGTAGTTTAAATAAACACTTTTCCTGAGCACCAAACAAATGTTTCAATAACATGGGGTTTGTTTCATTTTCAAAGGAGCATTACATGTTCAGTCTTTCAGTGTGTATTGTGGACTAGAGCTTTGGTGCTCATCCAGCAGGGGAGCAGCAGGATCATCCCATGCCCATCCAGCAGCTCTTCCCCAGGCAGCAAGCAGGGCTGCCCAGGGACTTGTCCCCACAGCCAGGAGACAGGACACAGCACCTGGGGCTCCTCTCCTTCAGGTACTGCCCACAGGTACTTTCAAAAGACAACAGCAATGCAGAATAAGTCCCCAAATCAATTTCTGATGGATTAAGAACTGAGTGTACAGACAGTCTCAGATGCACCACCTGCATCTGCTCTCCCTCCCAACGCTCCCAGCAAAGCAGACACCCACCCCCCTTGCCTCTCTTTTTTGCAAAGAAAATTCCTACATAGATCAAATTAAACTCATGTCATAACAATGATAAGGGACATCCGTGAAAGTAAAAGACAAATAGATAGAAAAGTGAGGAAAGAATACCTTCATTGACTAAAAAACAGGTATGTAAAGTGGGAGCAGTGTCAGAGCCAGAGTGACCAGCTTCAGTGCTAGAAGAAACAGCAGGAGCAACTTGCAGAGGAAAGAAGAAAGAGAGAGAAAAAAAAAAGAAAAAGAGGAAAGTGAGGATAGCAGCTTCTGAAAAACAGATTAGTATCACTAAAGAATGAAAAACAAAACTGGAGGAAACTGTGATAATATTAAACTTAAAAAAAGGTCTAGGTTTTACAAGAAGTGCAATGCCAGTGAGAGGAAGACATGCAACTGCAGAGAAACAGACACCAACAGACACCTGCAGCTTCTGGAAGGGCAGAAGTCACAGCAACAGAGCAATTACAAATGTCTCTCTCAATAGCTGGGTCTGGGTTGGCAGCACAGTTGACTAGCAATTTTGAAAACAGGAGTTTCACTGTTTTTTGTGCTTTTCCCATAGCTGGAGTTGGAATTGACACTTCTCGTCTCAACCTCTAGAAATTACCCCTTCAAACCCCGGGCTGCCCCATCTGTCCCTCTGAAACATCCCAGACTGTGTTGCTGGTGATGAGTTTTGATACAGGTTCATTTTAGACACGTCCCCACCCAAAGAATATTGGGGCCTATACCCTGGGAAGGAGCAGACTGCAAAGCAGAACACAGAGCAGGCAGGCAGGACTCCAGGCCAGCACAGCTCAAGCAGATTCCTCAAAGCAGAACCCATGACATTTAACTGGGAAACAGCAGCATTTCTTGCTGCAAAGGCCATTTAAAAGCAGTTCTAAACATTGTCCTTCCACTAACGCTTCACGACTTAATATTATCACATGAAAAGCTGTGCAGACCTTCTGGCACACACATGCCACAACCCAGGGTCAACGTGGAGATTTAGGGGTCACTATCTGACACTTCCTTCCTATAGAGAAATTACCATATGTCATGCACAAGCATCTTCAAATTAATCCCCCCCTTTTACTCCGTTGCAGAACAACAATGGGTTCAAGCTCCTGAACAGATTAAGCATTGTCTTCTGAATGGTCTGTTTGCTTTTCATGCAGTGAACTTCTTTTGTCACGGAGGGACATCTGCATCTGAACTACTTTTTGCACACTCTGCACACAGATGCAGCACGACAGGCACGTGTGCAAGGGCAGCCCCACCAGCACCCGGCCCCCAGGGACAGCCAAGCCTGGTTTCAGGGGGGATATAAAAATCCCTCTGTATTTTATGAAGGAGATAGCTTGTGAAAACACAAACCCACCCCATATTAAAAGTTAAGTCTTACTCTGCAGTTTCTTTTTTGCACTGTTGGGTGCCTCCCAGGGGTGGGCACAGCAAGTCACCGTGTGGAGGCAGCTGGCCCTGAGGGGCACAGAGCTCTGGGCATCTCAGGGCAGACACCATCCAACTGATGGACACCCACCATTGTACCTCTACCTGCTTTTGAAGAGCTAGAGCACCAGTTCTTAAAACTCCAGCACTAGAATTATCTGAGGAGCAAGAGGTGTCCAACGGGATGTCAAGGTGAGATGCTGAGGAAAAGTGTGCCCCAAAAGTGCCCTGAGAAACCAGCCTGTGCCCCCAGAGCATGCAGGACACAGCACCAGCCACAGAGCAGGATGACAACTTAGAGACAGGAGTGTTCATCTAGATCTGTTTTTGACAGCACCCAGAATTTCATTTTTATCTGTTGTTTCACATGAAGTTGAAAATATTTCCCCTGGGTAACCAAAGGGTGCCTATCACCAAAACCAGCACAGCTGCTTCAAAGAAAAAGTACATAACTGTCATTTGGGAAAGAAAAGCCATAATGGAACAATATCTTTAAAGACAAAACACAGACAAGTTTTGTCACACTGAGTTTGCTATAGAGACACCAACACTCAGAAATCCTGAGCTTTCAAGCAATTACCATTCAAAGAGAAAAAGTAAATGGCTGAAAAAACCCACAAAACAACAAAATTTCCCCCCCCTCAACTGACAAAATCCCCCCACATGTTGAGACAAGAGCCCTGTTTTTTTTTTTTAAATTTCTGCTTGTTGTTTCTGACTCCTACTTCTCTATTTCTGCAGCACCCATGATGATGAACAAAGCCTGACACATCCCACTCCTGAAACTGACTTGCCCTTTCCAACCAAAGATCACAGTTCATTAAGATTTCTATTTAGGAAGAGAATAAAAACACACAAGTGTTGCTGATGCACAAGTCTCCTCCTCAGATATAAACATCTCCCTTTTTTGCGAGTGAAAGCAATCACACAGTTGATGTGTAAGTTACCTGCTGTGTTCATTGGCTCTGTAATACAAGATTAGTTCCACACTTTAAAGAGATATTTAAGGCCTCAGGGCTTTACAGACTAACATGAAAATGTTTATGTAGGTTTTCATGTTAGTCTGTAGAGCCCTGAGGTACAGACCTTAAACCTCGTGCCATCACCTCAACCAGACTGTTTGGGAGCACTTAAAAGATGCAAAAGCTCATTGTCAGGGAATGACTTCATGACAGTTCCAGCATCTTCTAGTGATTATTAATAAGGTCTCACTCATTACAATTTTCACCTAGAATATTTCACTTCACCTAGAATATTATCACTTCATCATAAGGTGATAACTTCAGTGACAAGAGCTGAAGTGACATATCAAATTGTTCCAAAGTAAGTGGTTTTTACCTTGCTTAATCTGTCCTTGGACTGCATGACTTGAAACTGAAGGGGACGCCTTCGCTTTTGACATCTCAGGAGTGCCTGGCCTAGGTGGCCTAAACACAAACCATGCATGGAGGGGGAGGAGGATGGGGGAAACAAAGAGAAAGAAAAAGACATTATTTGCTAAAGATACTATGACTACACAAATTTTGAAAAGCAAAATTTGAAAAGCAAAACTGTGATTTTTTTTCTGTCAAACTGAGTGTTCTGTAACTTATTTACAGCTCCCAGGTAGCTTATTTGTTGGTGACAAGTTCATCTGCAAGTTTTCATTTATTTAGAATTTGATGTACTCCTTATAAAAAACTATTCAAAAATAAAAAGTGCTAGGAAAAAAGGACAAAAATGGCCTCTCTAGCACATATGTTAATAAAAACACTGATTCGAGAGAGCAGAAACACACTGAGTTCCACCTGGCACCAAAAGCTGTTGATGCATCAAACCCCACGGTACAATCCAACAAAACAAAATGCTGTATGAAAGAGAGACTCAAAGAAAGTCACACAAGCTCCAGTGGGTACATGCCCTACCTGGTGGGACCTTTCTTCATGTGGTCTCCAATGAAGGTCGCATTGGTCATGCTCATCAGCGTGTTGGCCAGTGAGATGACTGACAGGAGGTGCTGGGTGGTGACAGCCCGGGACACACCGTATGTCCCCTTTCCCAGGCCTTCTGTCAGGGACATTTTCCTTCCCAGCTCCTCACTGCCACACGAGGGTTTGCCTACAGGCTGATTATAGCCAGGAAGCATCAGAGACATGTGGCCTCCTCTGGACAGGAGGCCAAAGGACACGGAGCAGTGTGGCTTGAGCATCCCCAGGCGATCCAGGCAAAGCTCATCTAGAACAGAATTCAGGCCCCAGGCATGGAGACAGGACATGAAAAGCTTTGCTGTGTCCATGGTTAGATTATATTCTAATAAAGTTAATGGTTTGGATTTGCTAGAGCGATACTCTGGGTCACCATCTTCTCTTCTCTGCCTCATCGATTCCTCATCCTCATCTTCATCATCCAGAAGATGCTCTTTTATGTTCTCTTTGATTGTTTCCTTGACCTGCTGGAAGAGCACGGCTGCTCGTTTCCCAGCCAAGAAGGAGCCTCCCTTGTCAGCCCCCCCAGAGGCTTTCTGCAAATTCTCAGGAGAAATGAGAGCAGTGTTGGGCCTGGAGGCCTCCTCAGTCAGCAGCTGGATAATCAGGGCTTCCACGTCAAAGAAGAGCACGTGTATGTCTGGGTCTGTTAAGTTAGTCTTTATAGCTTGGACCATCAGGGAGTTGTGGGAGTATTTTGGTAAATTCCCCTGAAAAAAATATAAAAAATTGACATTTTAATTGGATTCCTTTCTTAACACTCCTGACAAAGGTAATTCACAAATTAAGGAAGCTGTGGGTGATCAAAATTTGAAAACTCGCATGGATATAAAGCACATTAGGCCAAACATTTTAAATCAGTGGCCAATTTTACAGCATTTTCCACAACATGTCAGACTTGTGATCAAGTGCTGCACCTCTAAAAGACAGAAATTTCACTTTATCAGATAACTAGGGCTCTCCAGATGAGACAGAGATTCACATTTTTTTCATATGAATTCTAAAAGATAATAGTTCCATTCCAAGGAACAAGAACACTTCAGTATTTTCTTATTTAATACACATTAGTATCCAAAAGTGAAATATTTAAAGTGTAGCATCAATTTATGCCATTGGAAAATAAGCTACTAATATATCCACTCAGACACACATTTAGTGTGTCACTTATTATTCACAACTTAAATCCATCTTCTTCCTCCTCCCCTTTCTCCCAAGGGGGAAAAAAAATAATAAAAGCTGATTAAAGTCAGAAATAACTGAAGCCTTTAACTATTGTAAGAATTTTACCAACGCAAAACTATGCTCAAATCCTTAGTTTCCTCAAACAAGTGAGAAAGAGAAATAAACAGAAATTTTAACAGAAATAAATCTGTCTGAATGTAAATAAAATGTAATTTATTCTCTTGTACAATGTAATTACCAGCCTGGAAGACACAAGGTTGAACATGCACGTTGGATGCACAGCAAAACCATCGCCCTACACAGCTCTGAGAAGGGCTGCCTAAGACCTGGTATTTTTTCCACAACTGAAAGAAGGCTGAATGGTTTGACCAGAAAATATCAACCTTTACTGAAAGCAGAATTGACCCTAAAGTTCTCAGTCTGTCCCTGATGAAAACACTACAGTCAAGGCTCCTACACCTTTTCTCACCTGTGACTCAACAGCCTTTACATCAACAGAAACTCTTCCAGTTTGGTGGGTTCTTTTGGGAACCACTAAAGCCCATTTGACAGCAGGAAAGGAATTTAGAAACTCACCAGGTTTGCAGCTTTTCTGCATGCACTGCATGTTTATTTTGGCAACCAGGCATGTATATACACACAGACACTACCCGTACATGCAGATTAGACAAACTAACATACTATGTAGCATGCAGAAATGCCTACATTTTAGTGTAGATGTACACAACTTTGGATTAGTTTTCCCCTTTTCCATGTGCATCCTGAGATGTTGCTTCCTTTGCCCAGCGCCTGGAGTTCCAGGCACATCTTGTGCAGCCTCTGATTCCCTGGGTCATGGGGTGGCCACCACTGACAACCTGCTGAGCTGAAAGCTGCATTATTTCTAGCAACACCCATTATCTTGAATTTTTTCAACCCTTCTCATTCTACTTCTGAACACTAACAAATGTGTTTATCACTGTGAATCACAGGAAAAAAATATCTAGATTCTCTTTGACATTTCTAATGGGCACAACAGTTGGTTTCAAAGCAACAATAAAACCAAAAGATTTTAGCTATCAAGCATCCATGACCTCTGGAACAGGACACGTTTTGCTGTGCTGGGTATCATGCCTCTCTAGGTAGGAATGTTTTCATTCCATGCAAAGAACCTGAGCAGAGAGCACAACCACGTGCACAGCAGCCACAAGTGCAACATTCCCAGCCAGGCAGGGGAGCAGCAGCATTCCATCTCAGCACACACGGATTGGTGGGAAGGTGATGGTGGTGTGTGCAGGGATGCTCCCTCTGCCAGCGACACTTCTTTTCCAACCAGAACGCAGCAGCAGAAGGCACAGCAAACCCCCCCAAAGCTGCAAGGCCGGGCATGGGGCGCTGGGAGCAGGGCTCTGCTGCTCCCTCCTGGCCACAGCCCAGACTGCCTGAGCAAGGAAAACCAAAAGACAAACTCAGGGAACGGTTTGAACTGCATCTATAGCCTAAAGATGTGCTTTTCTTAGGAAGAAAGCTGTGACGTGAGCAGGTGTCAGCAGGCCAGAGCATGGCTGTGTGTGGCGAGCCCCTGAGCCAGCCCTGCTCAGAGCAGCATCCATGAGAGCAGCTGCTCCAGGCAAGGAAAGCTTCTCCAGTACATGGCTCTGTTTCCTCAGGATTATTTTGCACTTCCTTCTATAAATCGTGGACAGAAGGATAAACATTGAAAAGCCAGGGGTCATACTCTTTCAGTGACCAAGTTCATAAAACCCTCACAAGGTCAGGACTTCCCTTGTCCCTGTAGCTGGCCAAAAAACAAATAAATGTGTGATGGGAAGCCCCAGAGAAAGCTCTCCCTGGAGCTCTCCTCTGACAGCCTGCCTTGATGTGCCTTTGAATCCACCAGCCAAAACAAAACAGATAGCAAGCAGGGAATTTTGGGTTTCTCCTTCCAGCTCTGCACAGGGACACTGTTCACTGCCCACTAGTGTCCAAAATGGTCAGTCCAAACCCTGCAGGCTGAATGACCATTAGGCACAGTCAAATCAACAGGATATTCAGAACTAACTCCTGTAGCTTTCTAACCTCCACACTGAAGTTCCTTAGAATTGTTACTGAATCTGGAGAAAACAGGCAGTGAGCACAGCACAGAGTTAGGGACAGTGAGGAGGAAGTTTAGGGGCATCAGACTCCAGCAAAGAAAACCAGTGCAGCTGGAAGTGCCAAAGAGAAAAAAACACGAGTTAATGGTGTTTTTACAGGGTAACTCTTGATAGCACCATCTGCACTGCAGACTGCACCACGAGAGAAGAAGGCTGCCACGTTTTGTTCAAGGCAAGTGGACTCCTGGGATGACCCCAGGCTGTCCAAGTTTCTGAGAGCTTTGGATCAGACCTTTCAGTTACAATATGAGGACTTCCCAGATGTTATTCAATTCCTGAAGGAAATAAGCATTCCAGGGAGGGTATTAGAAGCAGCTCACCTTGTCAGAGGCCTCAGAAGCCAGCAGGTTGGTGGCAAGAGTCTGCAGCTTCTGATGGGCCACGTTCTTGAGCGCAGCCAGGCTGCGGCGTGTCATGGCCTGCTTCAGGTTGACGGCGGGATGGCTCAGGGCGTCCACAGCAGCAGGCACTGCCTCATCACAGGCATTCAGGATCTCCACTGCTGTGATCCCCATCACACACCTGTCCAGGGCACCTGCAGGGAGAGCGACAAGCAGGACTGTACACAGAAACAACCCCCGGTGCCCCAAACAGCACAAGAACAACGGGGGGGAGATAATCCACGCCACAGGATGCCACGCATGAACTTCCCATGGGGTGCAAACTGGAACACAGGAGGTTCCACATAGACATCAAAAAAACCTTCTTTCCTGTCAGTGACAGAGCCCTGGGCCAGGCTGCCCAGAGAGGTTGTGGAGTGTCCTTCTCTGGAGACATTCAAGCCCCTGGGTGATCCTGCTCTGGCAGGGGGGTTGGACTGGATCTTTCCAGGTGCCTTCCAACCCCTAAGATTCTGTGATTCTGTGATTCCCATTGGGTTAACAACTGGATTTTTTTAACTAATATTCCTAAAGGGATGGAATTTTCCTAAATATCCATGGAGGTGAAGTGAGTTAGGAGAATCCACAACAACAAAAACCAAGACAAGTTTCAAATCCCCACCATGTGATCCTGCAGTGACCAGAGTGACAGCTGCAGTTGCTCCCCATTTTCAGTGGAAGATTATTCCCAATCATTTTGGATTCCCTCTCCCACCCACCCACCTGTGTGGATTAAGTTTTCCACAATGGATTTAAGGTCCCTCTTTTCTCCTTAGAGCTGCAATAAATAAAAACATTCTCATCTAGATAGCACAATAAGCTGAAAACAACCTTCAGGCATTGTGTTTGTGGGTTTTTTCCTTAGGAAGGTTAAGGAGTCTGATGGTAACCACACACTGTGCATTTTTGTGCATTTTTTCCTCACCTTTTCCCTTACAAATGCCACAAAACTTTCTACAAAGCTGTTTTTATTGTGTGCCTTGTTGCCCATTCTGTTAAAGCTCCATTTTAGTTTCTTCTAAACTAAGCATTAGTCCCTTTAAAACACAACAACCATCAAGCAACCAAAGCAAAAAAAACCCCACACTTTTTTCACTTTGCAGATAAGGAAACTCCTGCAGATTCAAGGTGCTGCATCCTACACCAAGCTTCCAAGAAGTCTGCTAAAGAAGCAGAGTCACTAACAAACTGAGAGGACACTACCCATACAGCCAGCATTTTAACTGGTCTCTCTTCAGCCAACCAGGAAAACATGTCAGGGGGTGACAGCCCCAGCAGGCTAAACTTCTCCGGAACCACAGGAGTTATTCCAAATACTAAAATATGTATTTAACAAAAGCTTACATAACCTACACATTGTGGGAATATGTGGAGTGCTAAATTTCCAAATATAAGTGTGCAAAAGAATTGTAACTCTTCCCTCAGGTGAAGCTTACACAGAACCATTACCAAATATTCATGTATATCATTGTTTAATCAACACGTATGAACTTGACCTTACCAGTATCCATTTGCCAGACGTACACGGACCCATCTGAACATCCTACCACCAGGTAGTCATCAGAAGGTCTCCACTTTATCACCTGAATAGGGAAGAGGTGCCGGGATGCCAACATGATGCACTTTTTCTCCCTCAGACTCAGAAGACCTACTGAGTGGTCACTGGCCACAGAGCAAACACAGTGCTGGACTCTTGCCTAATAGAAGAATAAAAAGACATCTCAATCAAAATGCAGACAGTTTGCATGTAACAAGCTCTTCTTCACTGGACCAAGCACGGTGATTTACCTAATTGATAAACCAAATCCATGCACTCAAGTCTGTGGCTCAAAGGACTGAGGTCCCTAGAAACAGAACTGCACTTGCAGAAATCCTCTTGAATCCAACACCTTGTGTATTCAAGGGCAGGTTGGATGGGGCTCTGAGCAACCTGGTCCAGTGGGAGGTGCCCCTGTCCATGCAGGTGGGTTGGAACTGGATGATCTTTAACATCCCTTCCAACTCAAACCAGACTGTGATTTTATATCATAAAGAGCCAACAGGTGTTAGAACCTGTTCCGTTGAGCAAAAAGAAGGGAAACTATGATCTTCAAGCAAATCAGTGTTGTGTTTTTTTTTTTTTTTAATTCTACCTACTCATCCAAGCTCCAAAAGACACAATTGCCTTTAAAGCCCATGGGCTAATTGGTGAGGAATGCTTGCCCAGCATTCCCAAACACCAGCAGTGGAAGGGCAGCTTCCACATCATGGAAACCCTCTCCCTCTCTTAATGCTGTGCATCCCAAAATGCCAGGGATTTCCTCAGATAACTAGGTTTAATATCCATTTTTTCCCACTATTTTTAATCCATTATGACTTTTAAAATATTAAAAGAACAATGAAATTATTTTTAAGTGCCTGTAAGAGTTACACACTGGCTCAGCACCACATCTGCACCACATCACATTGGGTTCATGTTCTCCAGGAGGATCTGAGAGGACCTGCACCATTTCTGGGAAGTGTGGGATAGGTTATCAGAACCATCATCTGAAACTTACACTACAGTTTTCTGGTGGAACTAGAAGCTGTGTGATCTCTCCACCATGAACACAGAAGATATGTTTCATCTCTCCAGAAAATATATCCCATATGATGACTGAGAAATCCACACCACCTGAGATCAAATACCTCTGATCATAACGAGAAGAGACCTGATGAGGATACAGTAAACATGTGATTTTGTTCCGATGGCCTCGGAGTGTCCGGTGAGGTGGCCAACCTGAGGGTTGGGGAGGGGGAGAGAGAAACAAAGAGAGAGGGGGAAAAAAGTTAATTGAATATAACAGTTAACAATCCAGAACACTCTTCTTGGTTAAACAAAACAGACACGCTGCAAAATTTTGGACAGAAGGTCTCAAAGAATAAGCCTTGCATTTTAAAAAAATGTTCACACTTTTTCTACTGGTCATGGACAGATTTATTCCTTTTGTCTTGCTCTACAATCTCACTTCAACATAATTCAGCCTCTTCAAGCAGCCTGTTCCCCAAACCTGCCCCCCCCCAAAATAAATCCCAACCAAAAAAATTTTTAAAGCCACAAAGATGTGAAAAAAAAAAGATTCCCCTTCCCAAAGATTAATTTATCCACAGGTAAAACCAAAATGACCAGTACCAGGAAACCTGCACCATCTTGCCCTGCACTGGGCTGCAGTGCTGTGCTTCTGCTGCTTGTGCTGAACAGGTTGTTAACATCCAGTTTAAATTTAAGAAGGGAAATCATCATTGTGAACACAGAGCAAGAACAGTGAGTCTTGTGTTCCCTGAGATCAAATGCATCAGTTAAAACAATAGAATGAGAATGATTTCACTATTGCAAAAGGTGCTTCAAAAAACTGTTGTTTAGGTGGCAAATTTTACCAAATGGAGCCAGGAAATGAAATCCAGGATCAAGTACCCTCTGCAACACCTGCAGGACTCAGGGCAACTTTTTTTCCCTTGGGTGATTATGTTTCCTAGGAAGCACAGCAAACCTTACAAGTACTTCTGTAACTTCCTGAGGGTCAGAGTCACCAAAACATGTTTGTGGAATAATGTATCAGCTTCAGGGCACTCCAAGTACAGATTGGTAACGTTTGTATAAAGCTATATAAAGTAAATCAGTATTTAATACAAGGGCAACAGTAGAACCAGCAGCCTCATATGTAACTGACCTGCTCGTGCCTAGACTCACAGGAAAATATTTATGTGTCTTTGTCATTCATCAATGTTTGTACCAAACCCCAAATACTTGTTCTGCAACTCTGATCACCAAACAACTCAAGTAGCATAATCCGGAACCAAAATACACACTAGCAAAGCCACTCAGCTAAGCAGACCATACACCAGGAGGAAGATGGGTCCCTTTCCCAAGGCTCTCCACAGGTGCCTGGAGAGCCCAGCTGAGATGCCCCCTGCCAGATGTGTCACTGCAGCCCAAACCCCCAGGAGCCAAGGCTGCCCTGGCCAAGGACACCAAACTGATCCAAGCTGCCACAGTTACCCTGTTACTTGGGTTTCTCATCACCTAACAGCAGGTCAGCACTGCTAAGGAAACGGTGACACGATCGCTGACTGCAACAGGACTTCACGCTCACTAGTGGAGCCACATATCACATTTCAGTGCACCTGGAGAGTGTGAGACAGCCCAGCAACCCCAGCCTGCTGCCCCCCAGCCTGCTGCCTACCCCTCCTCAGCATGTGCTCCCCCTGCAGCAGCTGGACGATGGCCGTCTGCGGGGCCGGCCCCATGACA